AAGAGATCTTCGAAGGGTACCAAGGCTCGGACCCTTGATGGCTCTTCTTCAAGTGGAACCAAGAAAGGTTTCATTACTCCTTCTTCTGACCCAAAAGAGGCTGAATGCTTCTATTGCCATGAAAAGGCTCATTGGAAGCGGAACTGCCCAAAATACCAGCAGGATGTGAAGGATGGGAAAGTCAAACCCAACCATGCAGGTATTTACACTATCATTTCTAATAACTCACCCCATTCTAAATCTTGGGTCCTTGATACCGGTTGTGGTATTCATATTTGTTGTGACTTGCAGGGACTAAGAAGAAGTGAGGATGTGGAGCAAGGAAGAATAAACTTGATCATGGGGAATAGGAAAGCTTCACCTGTCACCAAGATTGGAGTTTATACTTTATCGCTAAGTAGTGGGTTTAGTTTAGATTTGAATAAATGTTGTTACTCGCCAGGAATGGCAAGAAATATTATTTCCTTTCATGCTTTGTACAAAAAGGGTTTACCTTTTCGTTTAATAATGAAGTTGGTTCTATTGATGCTTTCTTTAATAATGTTCTTTATTTTAAAGCATTACCTTGTGATGGTGTGTATGAAGCTGTGTCTGTTGTAGATAACTTAGGAAATAATGTTTTGTGTATTGATTCTACTACTAATAATAACTTGGATAAAGCATCATTATGGCATTGTCGCCTTGGACATATAAGAAAGAAACGCATAGGCCAACTCCAAAAGGATGGAGTCTTGGAGTCGTTTGACCTAAAGTCAGATGATAGTTGCGAATCATGCTTACTTGGAAAAATGACAAAGTCACCCTTCATAGGATCGTGTGAAAGGGGTGAAGGTTTGTTGGACCTTATACACACGGATGTGTGTGGGCCATTCAAACATGCCACAAGGGATGCTAATCGTTATTATTTGACTTTTACTGATGATTACAGTAGATATGGATTTGTCTACTTAATCAAACATAAGTTAGAGACTTTCGAGAGGTTTAAGGAATTTAAACAGGAAGTCGAGAATCAATTGGGTAGGAACATTAAGATACTTCGATCTGATCGAGGTGGTGAGTATCTTAGTTCAGAGTTCCTCGACTATCTAAGGGAATGTGGGATTGTCTCACAATTGACACCTCCCAGGACACCGCAATTGAATGGTGTGGTTGAGAGGCGTAATCGAACCTTGTTAGTCATGGTTCGTTCCATGATGAGTCGAGCTTCGCTACCAATCTCATTATGGGGGTATGCCTTAGAGACTGCCGCCCATATTCTTAATCTAGTCCCTACAAAGAAAGTTGCCAAAACTCCTCACGAGATGTGGACTGGTAAAGTACCTAAACTAGACCACATCAAGATTTGGGGTTGCGAGGCTTTCGTGAGACGCGAGACTCATGATAAGCTCGAACCTCGAAGCGAGAGGTGTATTTTCATCGGCTACCCACAACAATCCTTTGGTTACCTCTTCTACAGACCTAGTGACAATGTGATCTTTGTAGCAAGAAGAGGAGTCTTTCGAGAAAGAGAGTTTATAAGCCAAGGAGACAGTGGGAGGCAAATTGATCTTGAAGAAATTCAAGAGTCAAGTGGTGAAGGAACTTCAAACTCTAGCCCTCAACTTGAGGAGGAAACTCCTGTTGAGCCAATTGACGAATTTGTACCTCTGAGCCTCCTCCGGTAGCAAAGGGCTTCTCTCAAATTCCTGGAGTGGATTCTGATGAGACCTTTTCTCCGGTAGCCAAGACTAAGTCTATTCGGGTTCTGTTAGCCATAGCTGCATTTCATGACTATGAAATATGGCAAATGGATGTCAAAACCGCTTTCCTTAATGGAAAGTTGGCTGAAGATGTTTACATGAGTCAGCCAGAAGGTTTTGTCAGCAGCAAGTACCCTAATAGAGTGTGTAAGCTTGAGAAATCCATCTTTGGATTAAAGCAAGCACCTCGCAGATGGAATCTTTGCTTTGATGAAAAGGTCAAGGAATTTGGCTTTTCTAGGAGTGAAGATGAATCTTGTGTGTATGTCAAGGCTAGTGGGAGTATAGTTAGCTTTTTGGTATTGTATGTGGATGACATACTACTCATAGGAAACGACATTCCAACCCTGCAGGAAGTAAAGTCCTGGCTTGGGAAGTGTTTCGCTATGAAGGACCTTGGTGAAGTTGCCTATATTTTAGGGATAAGGATCTTGAGAGATCGGAGTAAAAGACTAATTGGACTTAGTCAGAGTATCTACTTGGATAAGGTGCTGAAGAGATTCAGCATGCAGGACTCCAAAAAAGGAGAGTTGCCCATCCAGAGTAACGCCAAATTAAGACAGACACAAAGTCCTAGCACTGAGGCTGAGATAGCAGAAATGAGTCTAGTACCTTATGCTTCGGCTGTAGGTTCGATCATGTATGCTATGACGTGTAATCGACCTGATGTAGCCTTTGCCTTGAGCATGGTTAGCAGGTTTCAGGGGAACCCTGGCAAGGCACACTGGACTGCGGTAAAGAATATTCTCAAGTACCTAGGAAGGACTAAGGACTGGGTCCTTACCCTCGGTGGGAGTGATGACTTGAGAGTAGTAGGGTATAGTAATGCTAGCTTCCAGACTGATAGGGATAATTTCCGCTCTCAGTCAGGCTGGGTCTTTACCCTAAATGGAGGAGCAATTTCTTGGAAGAGTTCCAAGCAAGAGACAGTGGCAGATTCTACTTGTGAATCAGAGTATATTGCAGCTAGCGAGGCGGCAAAGGAGGCGATATGGCTGAAGAACTTCATTGGAGACCTTGGAGTTGTACCAGCTATTAAAGAGCCAATGGAAATTTTCTGTGATAGTGAAAGTGCTGTTGCCTTAGCCAAGGAACCAAGGTATCACGGGAGATCCAGACACATCGATAGAAAATACCATTTCATCAGACATCGGATCGAAGAAGGACTCCTCGTGGCAAAGAGGGTATCATCATATGAGAATCCGGCAGATCCCCTCACAAAGGGACTGACTCGGGTTAAGCATCTCCAGCATGCTCGGAGCATATGGCTGAAGGATGATATTAGATTTAGTAGTTAGATAACCTCGAAATTTGTAAAGTGTAATTGACATTTGATGATGAATAAAAAATGTTTTATTTATGAGTAAAGTGTTGCTATCTCTTGTCGATCGTTTACTATATTTCTTTTGCATGTTTTGACTTCCAGAATAATTTTTGTTTGGTATAACATATTATTCAAACCTCCACAGTCAGTCATATGTCGGAAGTAGGTATGAATCAAGACTTTCATGTTTGGTTGTAGAGGTCTTGGACAAGGCTACAGCAATCATGAGTGCTCATAAGTTCTGAGCATTGGACTCAACCCACGCTCACTGGAATCACTTCATGGAATTCTATCTCGAGTGATCGTGAGACGGTAATATCGTATAAGTCTTCAAACCTAGAGATATGATTTGTTACTTACAAGTCGGTTATGCATTGATTGTACGAAAACGCATTGGTAACTCGATGTTATAAATCGTGCTCTTGTGTGTAATTCAATGAGTGGTAGAACAAACATATGAGTCGAAGTTTATCTGTTCCTTCTTGGATTAGAAGCCGGTATCTGGGCCCCTCGATGATTTTGTTTTGACCCATGAACCGGGCCCGGTCAGAACTAAGTTGATGTGTTCAATTAAGTTCTTTGTCAAACAAATCAGAAATCGGGAAACAAACTGTTGGACAATAAGTAAGACATTGTTCCATGTATTTGTCCGACTGATATCTAGAACAGAGGATTATATGATCACTTATCTTAAATGGCGTACCATCATCTTCTCAGTTCCGAGAAACCTTGAAAAGAGCTACGATTGTCGATCGGTTCCTGAAGTCATACTTGCAGTAATAGTTATTAGACTTATCCAAGTGGGAGACTGTTCGATAAGGTGTCTAAGTCCATAACTATTTCTGGTATGTACTTGACCCGACCCGGCATGGTCCATTTGGGTTGCATGGCACCATGCAATTGGATAGACTAAATGAGAGAAATAACACTTGGAGATTATTAATATATTATAAGTTCTAATATATTAATAATATTATTTGATTAGTTTGGTCAATAATTAATTTAGAATTAATTAAGTGGTCAAAAGAGAACTAATTAAATATATGGGTTGATTATGTAAATCATCCATATCTTGTATAGTGGGCTAAGAGGCTCCATGGATTATCAAGTTGGGTTCTACCCATAGGATGCTCCATGGATGCTCCATGGGAGTTACAAACCCATGGGTCATGGAAATGAAGAGTCATGACACATTAGGGTTTACATGGTGTAACCCTAGATGTTTCAACACTATATAAGAATCATATTCTCCACCAAAATCGGCTACACTAAGGAAACAAGAGGGCTTGGCCGATTTCAAGAAGTGTGTGTTCTCTCATAAGTTTTTCCAAGAGCATTTGGTGTTGTGTGAAGCATTTGAGGCATCACACTTGGGGTGCTAGGCTAACAAGGTTTCAAGGAACACAAGCAACAACAAGGTAAGTTATTCTATTTATCATTCAAGTTAAAATTGTTCCCCATGTATGCTAGATAGGAATATAGCCTTGGAATTCAACTTTGCACGATAATTAGACAAACATAGATCCAAGGTTATTAGGGTTGCATGTACACTTAGGAAGTGTTAGAATGCTCAAATCCCATCAGATACGACTAAGGATGTCCAATGCCAGATGCTGACAAGTGGTAATTGTGATGATTAGATCATGTGATTCAACAAGATGAAGGAGGATAGAGTGAACATCAGCCACCAAACTCCGAATGACCTCCTTCTCTAACTTGATATCATTGAGCTCACTAGTGGTGGTACGCAGCTTGAGGTTTTGCATTTTGAGCTAGGAGGTACGCCTGTTAAGCTCATCCATAATGCGATTCTCTACAGCCAATTCGGCCTCAAGCTGAGTGAGACGATCATTGACGTTAGCATGTAGAGACGCATTGGCTGCTTCAATGGCTTGTCGTGCCGCTTCAAGATTTGAGCATTCAGATTGAAGAGACCATTAAAGGTTCTCTACTGAAGCGTTGACAGTTTGAGCGTTCTTAGCAGCAGCAGCCTGCAAGGAATCTAAAAATACTTGAGCGTCAGAAACTAGTTTATCGACTTTTGCGGTCGCTTCCTTGCATTCTTTAGTCGAAGCATCAACAACAATTGAGGCTTGTTGACATTGGGAAGTGGAGGCTTCGATTGCTTTGGCTGCAGAAGATAATGTGGCACTGTGTTTAGTAACAACGGAGGAGAATAAGGCCTTCAATGTAGCTTTAGAATAAGTGCTGGAGGAAGAGGATGGGAGCAGTTGATCAAGCTTTTCGTTTACTACCTTGAGATGACATTTCGTAACAGGCTCATCATCATCATCATCGCTCTGCACTCGGTAAGGAATAAAATACATGGAATCAAATTCCAAGTCCTTACTGCCTAGAATAGGGGTTGTTTCAGTGGATTGTGTGGGAGACAAGGGTTTTGAAGCAGGTGGAGGTTTGCTTGTGATAGGTGGTTCGGTTGTTATTGGTGGAATGGGGGTGGTAGAACGAGCACCTGTCGTGGTAGTGGTTGTGTATGTGAATATGGGAGTAGGGATGGGAATTGTAGTGAATGGTTGAGTGGTTGGAATGGGAAAAATGGGAGGGATCGATACAGGGATAGTTACAGGTGGAGGTGAAGGAGGATGAGAGTGAACTGGAATTTCTGGGGTAGGGGAGCGAGGCGGAGTATCACCTCGGCCCGAAGCCTCTTCATCAGAGCTTCCGCTCTCAGATTCGGAAGGAGAAGCAATCTTGTGTTGTGGAGGAACATACTCAGAATCTGAGTCACTGGAAGATTGTATTATTAGCCTCCTAGGGGGCTTCTCCAGCTTCTTCGGTTTGGGAGGTGAGGTAACAGCCCGATCAAACATTCGCTTCAAAAGGGTTTTCGCCTTGGTGGGTTTGGAAACTTGTGCCTCTTTTTGGGTTTCCGCTTTCTTACCCTTTTTTGCAGGTTTGTCAGCCTCATCAATAGAGTGGACCATGGCTGGGGTAAGCTCCCTTGGACCTGAAGACGGATGCTTCCTGTATTCTTGGAGAACGTTGCTCGAGGCAAAGATAGGAGCGATCATGGCCTCCAGAATCGATCCAATAAATGAGTACTTTGTTGGATCGGTGACAATAATTTTCGTAGTATGAAAGGTAGCGATGGAGGAGAGAAGAGAATCTGCCATGACTGGAACATGAAGGTGGTCCATTGCCCAGTTGGTGATGATTGTCCAAAATCTCCCACACGAGATCTCAGAGTTCCTGAAGGAAGAGACCAAGCTTTGTACCAACTGCTACCAGATTATAGTCCCAAAATCTAAGTTGATCCCATGGTACAGCCCATAAATCACAGTCATGAAAGACTTGCTTGCACCATCTGAGCTAGCGCTTCGCTCAGAGAGTCCTTTCAAAATCAACATGAAAAGGCCATTCCATTGAGGAGGAAGGCAGTACTTCTTGAACTTTCTGATGGTGGTAAGGGTTTCGATATATCCCATCTGATAAAACATAGAAAACAGTTGACCAGTGGTAATGGATTCAGGATTTACCAGAGATTGATCTTGAGAAAGATCAATTAGGGCACAAAAGTGGTGCTTCGAGATAGAGGTCTTCTCATTGTGGATTTTGAAGTGAATCCTTTCATGAATCTTGTCGTAGTAGGCAGTGGAGTAAACAAGTGAAAGGCACGACATTGGAACGACTTCATCCTTGGTGAGCGCTTCGACGAGAGGTGAGTATTTGAGACACTCAACATCGCACAACATGTAAGGCTCATAAACAAACGGAGTAAGGTCGATGATCAGGTTTGTTGTGGTTTGATGGTAAGTAATGGTTGACGAACGGAGGTATCATGAACTGACGAAGAATCTGCCATTGTAGTTGCTTGAGGAAGATGATGAGCAGTAAAAGAGATCATCGTTGTTCTTTGAGAGAATTTGGGAAGTGGTAAAGGTTAAAGAGTACCGTTCAAATCCCTTTTATACATACAAGTAGGAGAGAGAAAAATCTGGCTGAGATCATGGATTATTTCAAAAATAGCACTTGATTTGACGTGTGAACAGTTGGCATACGGAGGATAACACAGGAAAAGAAAGGTCTTTTCCTTTTTGGCACGCCATTCCATAATTTGTGCTTTTTCAAATTACCAAACCGATTGGATAAACGATGAGTCGGCTTCCACTTTATCCTAATCGTCACTCCTTTAACATTTGAATCATCACTGCCTGTGATGCTTTATTGAACACCATTAATAGAACCAGAGTGTGGAAAAGTAAAAGTTTCGTGCATATAGTGTGAAAGATAATGAAATAAAGCAAATATTTTGGGATAATTTGTGATGCCTTAATTAGATAGAAAACAATGGATTTTGGGCATGAATCACTTCCTTCAAATTCAAGAGATACATTGAAGTGCTTGCTCGGTTTCCCATTAAATAACGATCAATTACTTGTTAAGAAGTATTGAAAGGCATCTTTTAAAGGTTATAAAGGGTGGCTCTCGCTTCAATTCATGAATTCGATACTCGACATGAAACTGAAACTGAATGAAGTACTTGTGAGATCATTGTGATCTATTGAACAAGTAGGTAAGATAACTTTTATAGTGACAAGAGGAAATTTAGAAATCTCAAAAAAAAAATGGATCTTTAAGGGAAGAAAAACCTTGGTTTTAGACAAATTCATAAAAGATCACGCAAAAATAAAAAAAGATTTCTTTAGGTAACAAGTAAGCTCATGAATATGAAAATTCACCGTCAATTCATTTGAGGTGTTGAATTGTGGGTTTCACTTAGTATATAGTAGCATGAGACTAAGATCATTAACACATATTTTGTATGACCATAAACCTCAGTGGTAAATGCTGAGAGTCTCAAGGGTTATATTGGTGATACGAAGTATAATGGAGAAAAATATTGGAGATGGTATATGAAGCGAATGTACCTCTGCTTTAAAGAAAAGAGTGACCAGGCAGAAAACTCTAAACTCAATATGAGTAGAGTAAGGTAGCTCACGATAAGAGTGAATATTACAGCCTGAATTGGGAAAACATGATTTATATATATCATGTTATTAAGGCTTCACTCAAAATCTTTCGAGGCTTTAGTCAACATACAGCAACATGCTTCTAGGGACACCTAACTAATGATATAAAATGAAATAAATATACCTGCTTGAGCTCGACCATCGAGAAATACACTTAGACAAATAAAAGTGTTAGAAAGAAATAAAAAATATTTTTGTATTTTGTGAGAATTGACCAATTGAACGAAAGAGAAAAATATTTTTGGATTTTATAACTATTTTTATGAGAACAAAAGTGAAAAATATTTTTGAAATTTTATATGTGGGAAAGAAGGATTGAAAAAGATTACAAAGGAATACAGTTAAAATGCCTTGTTAAGAAAAAGAAGCGAACGAGTTCAAAAGGACCGAACCCGAAATAGACCGAACGTTCGGTACATTTCAGTTCGCTCTATTTTGCTTGTTACCTTCATGAAAGCAAAGGCGTTTTTGGTACAGATTCAGCTTGCATCATTCCTAGGCCTTGTAGAATCTCATTCAAGCTCGCTTCAGGTAAAGCCTTTGTGAATATGTCTGCTAGTTGATCAGTCGTTCTGACGAAGTGAATTTCTATGTTACCATCTTCAACGTGATCCTTGATGAAATGGTACCTCAGTGCTATATGCTTAGTCTTCGAATGTTGCACTGGGTTGTGACAAATCCTAATTGCGCTTTCAGAGTCGCAATATAGTGGGATTTTCTTCATGTTTAGTCCGTAATCCCTGAGTTGACTTTGTATCCAAACGACTTGAGATGTGCAGGATGCTGCAGCAATGTATTCAGCTTCTGCAGTGGATAGAGAAACGCAAGTTTGTTTCTTTGATTGCCAACTAACCAATTTACCATCTAGAAATTGATATCCTCCAGTTGTACTTTTACGATCTAATCCACAGCCTCCTAAGTCAGCATCTGAGAATGCTTGAACAAAGAATCCTGAGTTGGCTGGATACCACAGACCGAGAGAGGAGGTTCGCTTCAGATAGCAAAAGATTTTTTTCACAGCTTGTAAATGAGGTTCGCGCGGGTTGGCTTGAAATCTTGCACAATAACAGACTGAAAACATGATATCAGGTCTACTGGCTGTAAGATACATCAGAGACCTAATCATTTGTCAATAGAGTGTCACGTCAGCTGCTGGTTTCTCCAATGAGGGTGTAAGCTTAGTTCCAAAGGCCATAGGCACTTTCACTTTGGAGTCTCCCATCATCCCAAATTTAGCTAATAAAGTCTTGGTGTATGCCTCCTAATTAATAAAAATGCCTTCGGGTCCCTGTCTAATGTTCAATCCAAGAAAAAAGTTAATTGGACCCATTGAGCTCATCTCAAATTTAGTTTCCATCAACTTTCTGATTTCAGCTGTTAAACTAGGATTCATGGAACCAAAGATGATGTCATAAACATAAATTTGGACTATCATAAGGTGGTTACCTTCTCGCTTACGAAAGAAGGTTGGGTCAACTGAACCTTATTTGACTTTAGACATTTTTAAGAAACGAGCGAGAGTTTCATACCATGCTCTGGGAGCCTGTTTGAGGCCATATACAGCTGTGTCAAGGACATAACAATGATTTGGATACTTCTCGTTCACAAAGCCTGGCGGTTGCTCAACATATACGGTTTCTTCAAGTTCACCATTGAGGAAGGCACATTTGACGTCCATCTGATAGACTTCAAAGTTCTTGTGAGCTGCATAAGCAAGAAAGATACGAACAGACTCTAATCTTGCAACTGGAGCAAAGGTCTCTTCATAATCGATTCCCTCTTCCTAATAGTATCCTTTGACCACCAGCCTCGCTTTGTTACGAATGACATTCCCCTCCTTGTCCATTTTTGTTCCTAAACACCCATTTGAGACCGGCAACTGAAGCATCCTTTGGAGTTGGAATAAGACGCCATACTTTGTTTCTTTCAAACTCGTTTAATTCATCTTGCATGGCTTGAACCCAGTCTGAATGATCAAGCGCTGAGTTAACAGTCTTCGGTTCAACTTTGGAAACAAAGGAGTTGAACATACAAAAATCGACTTTAGAAAAGAGTGCAACCTGTTTCGCTTTGATTTGAGAACGAGTTAAAACATTTTCCAAAGATTCCCCGATAATTTGACTTTGAGGGTGATCTTTGGTCCATTTGATAAGTGGAGGGACATTTAGATCATAGATGGGATCCAATTCAACATTTATTTCTTCCTCTAGCTCGGACTGAATGTCCGCATCACCGATGTTGGTGTTCTCCCCCTCGAAGACTGACGCCTGTTCGGTATCTGGATTGGTGTTTCCTTCTTTGAGTGGACTCTCAGAAGAGCTTGAAGAACGAGGCGATAAGCTCTCCCCCTGGAACGATGAACCTTGATCATGAAAAAGAGATGGACCCTCCCCCTCAACATTAGGACGGTTACTTACAGGTTCGGTTGCTTCTGGCCTTTCGGTTTCTTTAGATTGGTCGTCCTCCATCTTTTTAGCAGTGTCGTCAATAATTTGTTTTAGATTATCAACTTTGTTGTCTTTTGTCGTTGATTCAGAGTCAATTGCCTTTTGAGGCTCGTCAAACAAAAGCAAGTATTTCTCGAAAAGATTTGAAAGAGAGGCCATAACTTGACCGTTCTTTGGAAAGATTTCTTGTGTAACACCATTTGTTGATTTCACTTTCTTAACATAACTATCGTCAAAGGTGAAATAGTATGTTTCTTCGATCTTCTTTAAGCGCTTATTGAGAACTCGATATGCTTTGGAGTTAAGAGAGTAGCCTAAGAAAATTCCTTCATCAGCCTTTACAACAAACTTGTTTTGATTCTTTATTGAGTTGAACATGAAGCATCTTGAACCAAACACATGAAAGAATTTCACATTTGGTTTACGATTGTTCAAGATCTCGTAGGTAGTGATAGAGAATCGTTTACTCAAAAACAATATGTTTTGGGTGTAACAAGCAGCGGCAATTGCATCGGCCCAAAAATACAGCGGCAAGGAGGCGAAGCATAGCATTGTATGAGCTGCTTCACATAGAGATCGGTGTTGTCTTTCAAC